TGCAATAGTACCACATTCTTTTTTTCTCCCCTTCCTCATAATTCTTTAACTACTATTTCTTCCCACACTTCGGTATGAGCTCCTTTCTTATTCAAGATGGAAAGGCATTGTCTTTTTCATTCACTGCTATTAAGTAAAGCATGGAAAATCCAGGTGTGCCTACAGTGCAAAAATACAGGCCTCTCTTTCTCTACAGGAAAGAATTAAAGATTTCAACTTGTATAGAATGAAGCTTTCCTACTACTTCCAAATTGGCTGAATTTGTTCTCAATTGAAATAAACTGAGCAGCAATGCAAAGCAGGGGGCTGTATTGCCCATGGAAAGTGGGGTCATTCCTAAATCTGTTGCACCATGGTTTCCCATTTTACCATAAATGTTATCATGTTTTGAAAGTGGCCTAAAGCATTAGATCAAAAATCCTACACAAAGGAGTTACTGGCTACTTATTGACAGCAACTGATTTCATGAAGATTAAATGTTGCTCCACAAAACTCTTGAGCTTATCTTCTTGTATTTCACAGCTGTGAAAGCCTTTTTACAGCATGTAACTTCAGCTCCAAAATATGTAGCTATCTAATTGGGTAACCTCCTGTAACAAAACACAAGCTTTGATTCAAAGAAACTCAATCTTACATGATTTGTGCTAGATTTTCCTCCTCAGCAGCACTTTTTAAAAAGCACTCTGAGTTTCTGTGAATTTCATGTGAAGAGTAACAAAGAATCCTGGAGTGTCTCTAGAATTTCCAATCCCATTGTACAAAAGAACCAGAACTGATGTTTGGCAACTGCAGGCCGAAATCATACCCAATTGCTTTAGGAAGGGCTGGGTGAAGTACAAGGTGGGGAAAGGGAGGGAAGGCAATTACCAGTAACTCCACTGAGAGATGTGTAAAGTGTTGCAAGATCTGGCCCTTTCCCAGGTCTAATACATTAGTTTAGGTGATGTATATTAAAAGTAACTGCCTGTGCTTACACATAGGCATGACCAACTACCCATGGCCAATACCTGCAAGGCTAATTTGCTTCAACAATATTTACAAGTAAGCAGTATCATCACTTGAGGAAAACCAATAGGTGCAAAATGGTGCTTGAGTTTCCCCCACCCCTGACCCAATCACAAATTTGGATGTCAACAAGGCTTTCCTATTTTTCTCACACATGTACATACCAACTGACACTCCTTGCAATGCACTGGAACACTCTGTTGAAAACTCTGGGATATTCCAGGCAGGGCCATCTTAATGCATGGACCTGATGGGCACTTGCCTGTGGGTCCCATACTAAATTGTGTATGTTAACCCTTGGAAAATTGGAAAACTTCCAAAATTAACAGTAGTTGTAGTTGTCGTAGGGGCCCCAGTACACTGCTTTGCCCAGGGCCCATAATGCTGTTAAGATGGCCCTGATTCCAGGAGGCACTTGTTGGAAAATATAGAACTAGAGCTGCAATCTGAAGGGACTTCATATACAGCTTTCTTTCCACAGAGCCCTTTCAATGCAAGTTCTTATTTAAGAAGAGTTGCACATATTCTGCCCTAGGAGTAAAGATCAAAGCTAAGTGTTCCTGAATTTTGCACCAACAAAATTTGCACTTATATTTTACAGAGGTATATATAAAATGTCACATATAAATGTGTTCCTTCTTAGTGCATACTAATCATGGCCTGGGGACAACTGTGTGGCTCCTAATTTAGAGAAGGCACCAGTATCCCGCTTGCAGTCTACTGGGCTTATTTCCACTGGATTCAGCTATATATTCCCTCTGCCTTTGAAACTAATTTTTACCATCTCTCAGGTGATAAACTGGCTTTAAAAATGAAAGATTCTCAGGATATGCAATTCCAGTGACAACTTCTGCCTTTGCACTATGTTTATGAAACATACACACATACTTGTATGCAGTGAGACTTACCCATGGTAATAAAGGTCTGCAATTATTAGCAATGTGAAATACTATCTTTGAAAATCTAATAACTCACAATGCTTTATTTTATTTTTCCGATTGGTCTAGGTAAGGTTCTTGTACCATGTAGCTAATTTGACTTGGACTAGGATAGCATATTTACACCTGCTTGCATTTGTTTCCCTCTACACACATCTTACAACAGCTCCCATAAGCCACAGTGAGCATGACCAATAGTCAAGAACTAGGAGAGTTGTAGCCCAAAATACCAGGCGAGCAACAGATTACCTTCTTTGTTTTACATTAAAGTATTTCCAACAAACTAGTGAATGTTGCTGCTCTAGGTCACAAGACTTTTTACTAAAGTCTTTGTAGAGGAAAATTGATTTTGTTTCAACTTTATTTGGATATGCATGCAGCCTGAGGTATTGCATGGAAATAGCTGCAATAAACAAATGTACAATAAACAAGAAAGGGAACATTAACATTGTTCTTTTAACAGTGCACATTCACTAATTCTCTTAAATTAGTCTGAATGGACATCTGTTTAATAAGTATTATTGCACCCTGTGTATGCACAATTACTTCCTTGAATGCCTGACTATTCAGAGATTTAGACTTCTTTTATAATGGAGACTTGGAAACAAACACACAACATGATTAACATCAATGGAGTTTTGTACTGACAGAGACATTCCGTCTCACCTACAGTAATTACACCACATGACTACCTCTACTTTGGGCTGGAGATATTGTATAAGGCTGAAAAGATTAACTTATGGAAGAAATCAGATAACACATTGAAATGTCAACATTCAATTGGTTCTCCTATTTGAAAGGATACTCAAGGCTAATAGCACAGCACCCAATTGACGACATGTGTTGGGAATAAGAAGGATGGCAGTCTTGGGCAATAGTTCCCAGACACTGCTGGCTGCTTTCCAGACAATTTAGAATTGGAAAGTGAGACATATTTCAGTGAGACTGGGGAAGACCGGCTAGGTCAAAATTCTGAGATGCAACAGGCGGAGGTGTTTTATCTTAAGGCCAGATGCTTCGTCAAACCAGACAGTTCCTGGAAATGACCAAAATGTACAGTCAGTGGGAGGAGACCCTGAGGATGAGGAATTCTTGGATGCAGACCAGCCCCTGCCCTCCACTCTCCAACACAAGTTGAGGTGTCAGCAGTGAATGGAGGCAGAACTGAATGAGCAGCATGGGGAGGAGGCATGCTCGTCTTCTGAGAGCCCCCCCTGAGGGGACGGGGCCCAGGCATGTTCATAAGGAGAGTTCCTGGAAGCAAACACTAGATTGGGTCCAACCAACTGCTCTGTGTATGCTCAGAGATCCATTCTGGGAGCCCGTGTGTGTGATGCAGAAAGACCACTAAGAAGAACCTTGGTTCATGACATGTGGGCAGTATCCAGTGCTACCATAATACTAATGTAGATAATGCTGAACTCTTAAGGCACTTTTAGTGTGACAATAATAGCTGGTGTGATGGGATTCTTAAACTAGTGTGCATCATAATTCTTACACTAGTGTGCACCCATATGTGCCTACCTGGCCTTTGAGATCTATGCAGGGGGCCCTCCTGTGGGAGCCGTTCCTTAAGGAGGTGAGAGGGATGGCTGCTAGGAGGGCCTTTTCTGCAGCTGCGCCTCATATTTGGAACGTTCTCCCCAAGGAGATTCCCCTTGGGCCTTCCTTAATCTTTTCAGCAACTTTTAAACAAAACATTTTAATAATTGCCATAGAAGTTTGTTTTGTATTTTTTACTTTATTTGTTGTTTTTAATGTAGTGGTTATCATTGTGTTTTTTTTATCTTGTGTTGTGAGCTGCCCAGAGGTGCTGTGGCACAATGTGGCATACAAATGTTTTAAATACTTCCCCTCTGCAGCCAGGCACACGCCAGCTATCATACCTGTGTGCGCCAGGTATGAAGGCAGCACATCCTGGCAGGCATTTTCTCGAGGCAGCCTGTGAGCATCTGCTTGAGAGTTCTTTGGATGGTTGCTTGAAAACTATTTGTCACAGTTTTTGTTGTGGGGGGCGGGCAGGGAACAGCCATGCTTCTTGGCAGGACCCAAGTACTGTCAAGGACAAGACAGGAGCAGAGGCATGGGTGGGAGGTGGAACAGGAGACAAGGGCTCCTTGGGGCACCCACCCTGTTGGCAGTATCTCACACTGTCCATGTGCCTCCTGTGCAGGGCAGCCGAGACCAGAGCTTCTGTGCACCAAGGCATAGAAACAGAGTGAGTCAGAAGGGGCCTCCCGGGCCATCTAGTCTGACCTCCGGCACCAGCCGGCTCCGCTCACAACATGCCCACCATGTACATGTCAAACCATGTAGACCAACCAAGAACCACAACAGTACAGTGGAGCAATTGGAGAGGAGTGCCAGGCATGGGCACTTCCAAGGTTGTGCTGCTGGAGGTGGCGTGGTGCAATGCACTGCTGCTGAGATTCTGAAGCTGCAGGTGGGCATTCAAAGGCAGCACATGGAAAAGGTGGGGAAATGAGCACAGAGCAGCCTATCAGTGCACGGCTGGGTACAGGTCAGCAGGTGCTAGGCAGTCTTGAACAGCAGTAAGTGCAGACTGGCAGCTGTGGCCACTCTTTGTGCAGTGCACCTGCTGCAGATGTAGCCACTCTGTGCAGAACTCTATGGAAACCACGAAGAAACATTGTTTCTGGGTTCAGACATGCAAACAAGCCATAGTGAAATGTGGAAACCATACCATTGTTTCTCTCTGTGGCTCCAGGGAGGTCATCCTTATCATGCTTCAAACCATGGTTGCTGGTTTCAGACATAATGACAAGCCATGTCCCCATTTCTACTATGACTTGTTGTTAGTTTGGTCCTAGCCAGTGTTTGGCATAAAACAGGAGTGGCCAGACTTGCTCAACAGTAGAGCCACATACTGTAAATGTCAGATGTTTGAGAGCTGCAAATAGATTCAAAGAGCTGCATGTGGATCGTGAGCCTTGGTTTGGCCACCACTGGCATAGAATCAGGCCACCTAGTTCAATCCCTTATATGATACAAGAAATCACCAATTAGTTAGATTTAAAAAAAGAAATCTAACATTGCCAAAGTTATCGATCTCCTTTATCAGAAAGGAGGATTGAAGTCCAAGCAACTCTATAAAAAAGACTAATTGGAATAGAAGATTACAGATTCTTTTAGGTTAAGCATCTGCTTTTGCTCTTTACCGACTAAGTAGTACAAATCATTCAAGATACATTTAAGCTCTTCATTCCCACATTTCTATTGATCTATTCCAGACAAGGGAACTTTTGCAGCCAAGCCCTTTCAACATAAAACCCTGGGTGCACAGTCAGCCTTTTGCTTGTTCTCCTGGAATTAGCAGAGCTCATCATTTGTTTCTTTTCAGTCAAACTGACAGTGGACAGGATGCCTTGACAGTTACCATTCTAAAGAAAACAAATGCATTTGCTATTGTTATTATTAAGCTTAAAGGGTGATAAAAGTTTTATCAAGAGTTTATTTCACTTCCCAAGTGGACTGGATCTCAATCCTGGTGACTTAACTACATAAGTGCAGATAAGTGAGCTTTACTGAAACCAATACAAGATATTAACAAGCCACAGATGTCACTTTAATAAATTTAAACAGTTCATAGCTATCCTTGGGAAAATCTAATGTTAGTGTTTCATAGGACAGGTGACAGAAAGAAAATGATAGCAAGATGATAACTATACTGAACTATAAATATGCAACTGACTCTTAAGACAGCATCTTTTAATTTTGTATTTAAGTAAAATTAAATTAAAATGATCTTATTAATGTATTTTATATTTTAACATTTGTGAACTACCTAAAGGCCTTTGGCTATTGTGCAGTACCAAAAGGCAGTAAAAATAAAGGACACAGCCCTATTAACCTTGCCCTAAATGTGGATAAGCCTCAGAACAAGGCCCTGCTGTGCCTCACACCCCAACCTGTATCTAACTGACTACTGAAGGAGGCTGAGAGGTCATTAGGAATCAAGTCTTTGGCTGAAGCCTCCCCTCTCCCCATTGCACCCTTCTTTCTCCACTCTGAGGCTCATCTGCAACTGTGGGGTTGCAATGAACATTTGCAAACCATGGGGTTGCAAAAGAACAGCCAGCAGTTCTTTCCAGGCTGATTGGAACTGTGGGGGAGGACTGACTTTTGGATCCCCATCTTCAAGATCACAGGATCTTGGAACTGGGACTTCAAATAATCCTATGCTGCCCCCCTCCAACAATGTTGGCAGGGCATGGGAGTGCACCTTTCGTGTCTTGCAGAAAATTCCATATGTACTTTCTTCCCTAATCTGCAATACTAATATCTTATGCGCTTATTTCAAACCATTATAGTCATTACCTCTTACATATAGTGATTTAACGCATGCAACACAGTACATGTAAAAAATAAAGCATATAGGACCATGATGAATTCTATATTTAATTCTCCTGATATAAAAAACTTTAGGCAGATAGGTGGTAAATTTACATTTACTATCACAGCAAAGATTGAGTGCAGCCTGTAATGACTGGGAAACCAATTTGGATTTGTCAGGTTTGTTAACACAGAGAACAAAAATATAAGACACTACCACAAAGACATTATCACTGCTTTTGATAAAGCCTATTTAACCATAGTAGTGAAGCAATTTCAAAGCTGGTTGCTTTCTGCAAACACCACTATCAATTGGCCATATAGTTCATAGAGAGTATTTTAAGATAACAAGTCAATATAACACATATATTGAGATTTCAGTAGGTCTCTGACACCACCCAACTCCTATGAAGTTTATCTACATGCAGGAACATTAAATTGTCATTTTAATTTCAGTCCTATGAAGTTCAGTTATAGCTACAAAAATTCAAATAGAGGCATCCAGCTTTTTTGCTTCTGAGGACATAAAAATACTTCGCTGCAGTACAAGTTCCCTTTGGCTGTAATCCTTTACATGTTGTAGTTAGCTAGGTGTAACACCTGTTAAACTCAACGGGGCTAACTTTTGAGCTGGACACATACAGGATTCCATTATTACATTCTTCTTTTCTCCACTCACAATATTTCCTCCTAAGAATCCTTTTGTCTATGAGCTATCTTAAGGATTCCAATCAATAAAATGGCTGTATCTATACTGTGATAATTATAAGTGTTGTTAGATTTGCAAAATTAACAATGTATCAAATTAGAACCTCATGTGGATACATATTTTATCGCACTCTGATGACACACAGGGAAATTTAAGTTATTTTATTTTGAATCAGGGTAATATGTGGGTGAAGTACCTGAATAACTGAGGTGTCTGAAAATATAATTCTCACATTTGCCCAGTTATAAAGGTCTATCATCAATGCTTTGCAACGTTATACAAAAGCAAACTTCTATTCAAATAAAAGTCATTTGTGATAAGAGTATATGACATGGCACTTGTAACTTGTGTACAAATAACTAATTCAAATGCAAATTGAAATACACATTACAACTACAAGTGAAAGTCATCTTAATTTAAGATAGGCAGGACTTTAGAGAACAGAATAAATAGTCTTATGGTATGTTCCAAGTAACATTCATGACAAAATAATGAAGCAATTTTGTCTCTCAGTGGTTGGCAATTATATTACATTATAAGATTTATAAGCTATTAATAGTCTCTGAACAGGTCAACAAATGAATGTGACCAAATGCAGAAAACAGAATATAAATTATTGTTAAGATCAGTTGCTGTAGTTAACCAACTGGTTGACATCAGACCCAAGGTTTGACCAATTATGTCTTTGGCCTTGGACACTAAGAATTCCTTCTCTCAGCAAGCAGTTTCATTCAGGGATATCTGCTAGGTTTGAACAATATTTCCACAAAATATGTCTCATCATCTATGAGGCTTGGCAAAAGATCAGGTGTTGAGGATTAAGAAGCAACTGAGCTTGGAGGGGTGAATTTCAGAAGCAAGCTTGGATTTATCATTAAAATATATCTGCTACTTTATTTTTCTAGTATTCAGATGCCATTCATTACATTTTACTGCACAACAGTTCTGAAACATCAGTCTGCTTATGTGAGTTACTCAGAGACAACAGGCACTGTCATCTTAAGTTACTGGTATTTCTACCTTGTCCATACTTTTGGTAGAGACTTGAAACCTGCATGACTAAAACAAGAGTTTGTGCTTCAAGGAATTTTGTGCAATTCAAAGCAACTTAGGCTGAAAGACAACAAACTCTTTCTGGAGATTCTGACTACTGCAGAGATGAAAGGCCAATTAATTGAATGTAGCATGATCAGATGCAGAAATAGAACCACCTGAGTTAGACCTAGAGCCCAAAGACCAGTCTTTTCATAGTCCTGTGTCAACACCTACTCTTCTTATGAGTGCTTTATTGCCATGGACTGCAAGTAATTTGAAGGAGGGTCCTTCAGTGACAAAAGGCTTCCCAAACATTGACAGCTGGCACTCAATAATTGAACTTACAAGAGTAACCAAAAAGAGAGTAAAATTTGTGCTTTTTGACCAGCATTCTGTGATGCATTCACTAGTTGATCAACCAAATGCATAGCTTATCTTCAAAGTGGCTTGCAGCAAATTGTCTGCTGAGACTGTCCGCATGAGAAGTGGTTTTTGAGTTTTATTACAACAGCGCTATAAAATCCATCTGTTTCACAGTGTGTAACTTCACTGAACAAATGTGCTGACTTATCAGAAGTGATGTAACAGGCATCACATTCCATCTGAAACAACTTGATAAAACAATCATAGCCCTTATAATGCTTATGTTTTGATTTTTTTAATACAAGATTTAGTGCTCAATAAAAATTATTTTTTTCAGACCTCTACATCTTTTGTATTTTAAGGAGATAATTAAAAACACAGCATATCTACTCTGGGGATATGTAATTCTCTATTAGCTGACCAATTTTGGTAGCACAGTACATAGAGGTATATTGGCATTTGAGTCAGACATTAGATTAGCTCGCAATTTGCTGGCTACCCCAACAACTGGGGGCAATCTGGAACCTATCCCTGGGAAAGAGCTTGTATAATGAGCAATCCGTTTGCCTGTTGTTTTATCCATGCTGGGTGGCTTAGGTACTCGTTTACAAATCCAAGGATGCCTTAAAGCTTGGCTAGGAGTCATCCGTGCTGAGGGATCCCAGTTAAGACATTCTTTTAAGAACTCTATGAACAAGGGGTCATCACAGCCTTTTAATGCTGTAATCCAGTCCTTGTTGCCTGGAGCACCACGCATTTTACCCCTGCGTGATCTGCTGCCATTAAGAGTCATTTTCCCATCTGCCTGTGTTGTTACAGTGCAATAGCGAGGATGACCTTTTGAGTTGATGAAGTTTTTGGCTCGTTTGGACTGGTCCAGCAGCTTCTGTGGGGGCATTCCAAGGAGTTCCATCATACAAGCTAGCTGGTCACCCTCATCCTCTCCTGGAAAGAGAGGATAACCAGTCAATAGTTCCACAAGAATGCAACCAAAACTCCACATGTCTATGGGCATTCCATAACGGCTTCCCAAAATGACTTCTGGGGCTCTGTAGAAACGAGACTGTATATAAGTATAGACTCTTTGGTGTTCGAAACAGCTGGATCCAAAATCAATAACTTTGATTCCACTCCGCCCTTGCTGCTTTAGGAGAATATTTTCAGGTTTCAGGTCACAATGGATGATTTTGTTTTTATAAAGAGCCTCCAGACATTGCAATAAAGAGTGAGCAAACTTACGTACAAGCTGCACACTGAAACCTTGAAATTTATTTCTTTTGATCAGTTCATACAGATTCATGCTCAAGAGCTCAAAAGTCATACATATGTGATTTCGAAAGGTAAAACTCTCTAGCATGTGAATAACATTCATGCTTCCAGTTTTATCTTGCTTCTTGAGATGTTCCAAGATTCGTATTTCTTCTGCTGCTTGCCGATGAAACCTCTTCTCATTGCGTACCATCTTCAAGGCCAAATGCTGGTGATGTTTGTGGTCATAAACTTTAGCTACTTGGCCAAAACTACCCTTTCCTATTATTTTAAGAACTTCATATCGATAGGCAAGATGGTCATGAGGCACATGAATGTAGCTGCCTTGTTCATCATCATATCCACCATTGTTTGGGCCACCAATGACTCCTTGCCTTTTCTTTGCATTTGGACCCACAAAATAAATTTCAGAGTAGTTAAATATTTCTTGTTGCTCATAGGCTGTTAATTGCGATTTGTATTGTTTCAGTATTTGATCTGGAGACTGACCATTAGTTTTCTGTACTTTTGTTGAGCCACCACTATTTTTGGTAGTAGTTAGGCTGTCAAAGCTTTTATCTTTTGCTGGAGTTGGAAAAGACCTTTCAGAGCCATTTATTCCAGAGGACTGTAGAGTACTGCTCCTTCTGTTGCCAGAGTCTTCAAACAACTGCTCAACTTTGACCTGGCTCCCACTTAAAGGATGATCTTTCATTGTGATTGTGTTACTAGTTACCTGTAAGGGCGAAACAAAGCAAGTCAATTAGCATTCAGTTCTCACTTTAACAACTAAGAAACATCAGGAACTCTTCAGATAGAATAAACACAAACATACTAATCTAATCTTATACTAGCATACATAAGGAGCACCCATGCAGCACCTACTCTTTAACCATAATAATGTCAAGTACTGAAGGTTTAACATAAACCAACTAACAACTGATGCTCCTTTGCTAACTTACAACCATAGCCAGCAGACTAAAAAGAAGTAAAATTAGAACACATTACAAATAAGCATACAAAGGAAATGGACAAGCAGAAGGAGGTTATGAGAGAAACCTTTCCAAAAGGCAATCAGGAAAGTGGCCAGGGCAAGGGGTGAATGCTATTTTGGTTACCAAGGATTCCATGTTACTTTCAAGTTATCTGAATCTGTATATGAGGCATAACTGGGTTTTGCATCTCTCCTAGAATATCACCCTGTCCCAGATTTAAGTCCTGCAAAAGAAACTTTTTGTTATCCTAGGCCAGCAAGAGACTATTTTTCCTCTAATAAGAAGAGTAAATTGCTAAAAAACATCATGAAGAATAATTTCTTTTTTGTTTGATGGAATGATTTCAAATACCATCCCAGGAAGGGTAACACATACCTGTATGGTTCATATTAAATTCTATTGTGCAACAACTGTGAGTAGTGAAGAAACATCTGTTTTCCATTCTAGCCTCTAATCTCAAAATAGAGACGAGCCCTTGAAACTGAAAATAGCAGTGTCTATTTCAGAAAAATATACATGTATCCGCAGATAGCTAATGAGTGATGCAAGTAATGCTATTCAATTTCTTTATAGCAAGTTACTCTGCATCATCCCAACATAACAATAAAATAGCAACTCTTGCAGAATATAACTTGCATACCCCTTTTCACTGAAATGCAAACACAAAATCTATGACATTGGCTCAGAAAACACAGAGCTTTAGGTGATCAAGATGTATCTTCTTCCTGATTACTGCTTAACTACTTTATCTGTCTGGAAAATGGAAACAGTACGATTTAAACATACCTTTCCAGGAAGTCATAGAAAATATGATCCAGAGAATTAGCACTTTAGTACTACATTCTTTGCTGATCTTATGGCTGACCTTTAGAGGAAGAATGATGGACAATTTAAAATTCTGAGTAATGTGGTCCCTCACTGAACATAAATCAAAATGGCACCAATTCTCTATGCATTAGAAAGGAATCTAGGTTTTGGAGAGGAAAAAAGCTCTATATTTGGAAGTGTCTGCTCTCCTGTACCAACTACAGTGTGTAATATTCCAGACAGATTCTTGCTATACTTTTGCACACATTGTTGGGTAGTGGTGATGGAATCTATGGATATGGTGTTCAACTGAACCAGAACTGTTAAGTTTGTCCAGCATTGAAATGTTAGCTGTAGCCAACATTTCAAAGAAAATTTCAAAGTTCACTATGGTATTTAAAAACTGTTCCCTGCTTGAGAGTAACATACAAGAATGAAGTGACATGGAATTGAAAGGAGATATTCTGCTACCTGTTAAATAAGAAAAGTTAGAGCAAACTATCTGGCAACAGACCAAACAAGAAGGACGAAGGGAAACTTTGGAAATGCATACCATGTTAGGCAGCAGGATGCCTCAGACTGAACTATTTCAGTATCCTCCCTTTAGAAAGAACTGAGAAACATTCTTCCACTCAGACCCTTGTCTGTTAGTCCCATGAGTGGTGGAAATTTTGCCTACAAACTATGACACATGAAATATGGCACAAAAAATGTTGATGTGTTTTTATTATTTTTAAAGCAAGCTGCTAAAACATGGACATGAGAGGAAAACGCACACTTAATAGATTTGGAAAGCTACTCATTAATATATGGTGTTTCTGTACCACTCCAGATCCCTATTTAGCTTCACAAACACAACCTTAACCCTGATATTTCTGTATTCAAAATACCAAGTGTAGTGAACAAAATATTTTGATCAAATTAACTTTTACAACATGCACTGCACACAATTCATTTCCTGAAATGCATAATATTAAATGCCTGTTCAAAGTCAATTACCTCCTTTCCCTCTCAGTTCTGAAAGAGTTTATGGTTAAACTTTATACCTTGGAACAATATTTTGTTTTTCAACATCTTTTCCATTTTGACTATCATCCCACAAGGAAATTAACTGAGGTCATGCTGATTTAAAAAAAAATTGCTAGATTTTGTAGAAGACAATGGGTGCATCCTCTACATGTTTAAATAGGAATAAGGCCCTATAACATCCAGAATTTTCCAGGCGACATGCACAAGACTGTCTCCTACATTACTAGTCTTCTGCTTCTACACACAGAAAACACAAACTCCTCACACAAACTTACAGAGAATTCTCAGAGAAGGCATTAGTTCAGGAAAGCTCCACTTCACATTTTCTGCACTGCTTATAATATGGCATTTGCCTATATTTTCTAATATCAAGCAACAATTCCACACACTATGTCAATTTCAGCCCAGTACCCATTATTATCCACTCATTTCCCTTGAGCATGGTGGGTATGGGGAGAAAAGAGAAGAGGAAAACTAATCTTCTCTCCTGAACAAACTACAATTAAAAACCTATAAAACAGAGCATCTGTTTTGTGTTTTCTAACCCAGAACTGTCAAAAAGGCATTGAAGCATGCCAATGGGCCTTGAAGGTCCAATTAAAACATATGTTTTAAGACTGTAATTACTAGCCAGACTAGTCATCTGTTTAACTGCCTGATCTAGTCTATGCAACCACTATTAATAATAATCCAAGAGATCTAGAAAAATTCTTTGAATGTAATATTCCCCAATGCATAAGAATTGTCTCAGTTTGAAAAGAAATAATTCAACAATGATAACTTTTAATAATATCTTTTTAATATTATGTACGGAAGTACACAGGCATTGTTAGTCCAGTTATTCAAAGTATTTGGCAAAAATAATGTCTGAATGTCTGCTATTTCCTCTTTTCCAAAATGTTTACAGACCAGGTTCAAAGGTAAGACATTTTGCCTTAGTCTGCACATCATAACACTAACGTATAGTTTCTGTATAATCAGAATCTGGTCATATTAACAAACTAAGTTTTGCTAACAAAATCCATTGTTTGTTGTTGGGCTGTGAACTCTGGGTTGTCTAACTATGGTTTGTCAGTGTATGAAATTAGAACTGTGTGATTGTTCATGGGCTATTTTGCCAAGGCTACAGAAAGAGGGCCAGAGTGGTTAAAAAAAGAATCCAGTATATAGAGTCCCAGACATTCTAGATACCAGTACCGCAGCACTGCAAAGACATTAGGAATACTGGGAGGGAGTGGAAAAGGAAGCAAACTCATAGACTTAGTATGCAATGACTATCCAAAGTATGGGTTGTTATTGACTTGTTGGTTGCTTTTCACATGCAAACCCTACAGCATGTTTTAACTATTTTTAACCATGAACAATCCAGAGTTCACAACCCAACAACAAACCATGGATTCCCTTCTTGGGTTATTCATGGTTAACATAGCTAAATCATACTGCACAGTTTACATATAACAGCAACCCACAATTCAGTGACAACTGATAATTCAACCCATACTCTGGGCTGTCACTATTCGCAAACCAGACCAAGGATAGAGAAAACAAGCCACAGATTGTTTGATAATCTGCCACGGGTTGATAATAAGTGTGAACCAATTTAGTGCGTTAAGGGTTGGTGGCCTTCCTTTCCTGTAGCAAGTCAATGGGAACAATGGCAACCACAACATAATCTGTAGACCCCAACATATTGTGAAGTACAACTGGTCTAGTAATTCTGGATACTACAATCCCTGCCAAAGTTAAAATACAAACGTATGGAATCCTGCAACATACACTGCAAGTGGACAATGCAGGATTGACCATAACAACCTGTTACTGGCCTATCCTTAATGAAAAGCCTGTCAGGGACTGGTCCTGTCACCCTTACAATCTACAACACTGCAAAGTCTTATGCTTCAGTGATGTGATTCCCCCCTCCCCCAAACAGAGCTCCCTAAACAACCTCCTAGATCAAGTGGTGAGCAACTTGTGATCCTCCAGATGTTTTTGAGCTGCAACTTCCACCCTCTCTCACCATTGGCCATACTAGCTAGGATTAGTGGGAGATACAGGCTAGCAACATTTGCTGTACCACAAACTGCCCACCTCTGACCTAAAAACAGGAGAATCACATTACTGAATGAATGCAACAAGTGTAGGCAATGAGAGTCCAGCAACTGAAAGCCTTCAGATATCCCATTACACCATACACATACAGCATAATACTTCTAGTTGGTTAAAAATTAAGTCACAAGGCTGCCAACTGGAGTCAGTTAAAAAAAGATGTTACCTAGTCCTTGTACAGGTTTTACCACTTGCCTTTCCATTCTTGGAGACAATTCATGGTGTTGTCTTCCTTAAAAGCACGAAATAGTTTAGGAATACTTTAAAAGACCACCCCAATTAAATGATTCTGCCTTTCTCCTGAAATCCATTGAGATCATTTTGCATATCCCACTGCTGGGACAGTGGTTGACAAGAACAAGTCCCCCACCCACACTCCTATGCAGGACATTTCTTTTGCATTAATACCATTAATTAAACAACTCCTCCTAAGAAACTTGCTACAATTCCTCTTCTATGGCCTTCTGCCACCCAGTGAAGACTTTCCTCTTTATCATGCATTTTGCTTCATCTTTTTATCCTCTCTTTCTTGGTCGGTTTAGTGCTTATTAATTCATTTTATAAGATTTTAATGAATTCATTTTGTCTTGCATCATTTTTAAAATATTATGCACCTCTGAAAGCATGAAGGAACAAACATCCTGTAATAAATTGATGATACTAGCTATGTAAGAGGGAAGGACTGGCAATACAACAGAACCACCCAGATAACTCACACCACAGAGCTCCAGGATACAAAACAGGCAAAGCAGGTTTTAGACCTACCAGAGGGATGGCAGAAGCAAGACCACACCTTTTA